AAAGAAATGTTAAGCACCGCACCACTATTCATATCCAGATTTTACTAAGCCTTTTTATATTCATTGCGATGCCAGTAAAACTGGAGTAGGAGGAGTCCTCGTTCAGAAAACAGAGACAGGAGATGAATATCCGATAGCTTTTGTATCAAAAAAACTAAATCCAGCACAAAGGAATTATTCCGTCACGGAACAAGAATGCCTGGCAGCTATAATTTGTCTGAAACACTTTAGGGCTTATATAGAAGGGGAATTTACCATAATTACAGACCATGCCTCTCTAAAGTGGTTCATGTCGCAAAGTGATTTGCATTCGCGGTTGGCAAGATGGGCACTAAAACTACAAAGTTTTAAATTTAGAATTGAGCACCGCAAGGGAAAGCTTAATGTAGTCCCAGATGCCTTGTCGAGAGTTAACGAGAATAAGATTGCTGCCGTTGACTTGAACAATGGGTTATTGGTTGATTTGGAATCGCCAGAGTTTAAGGGCGTAGAATATTCGGATTTGGTGGAACGTGTTAGGGCAATCTGGATCAATTTCCTGACCTAAAAATCGCCGATGATTTGGTTTATAGGCGCTCAGACTATTCAAATGGGGACAGGTTGCATGATACGTATACTTGGAAGCTATGGGTGCCCAAATCCTTGGTAGAAACGGTTTTAAAAAATGCTCACGACCATCCTTTAGCATCCCATGGGGGAATTCATAAAACATTGGAGCGCATTCGTCGTTATTATTACTGGCCTAATTTGGTAAACGAGTGCGAAAATATATTAATGCATGCAAAACTTGTAAGTCTACAAAATCTGTAAACTGTACTTTGCGACCTCCACTTGGTAAACCGCACGAAACGCAACGCTTCTTCCAACGGTTGTACGTGGATTTCTTAGGTCCATATCCACGTTATAAAAGTGGTCACGTGGGAGTTTTCATAGTGCTGGATCACTTCTCAAAATTCGTTTTCCTCAAAGCAGTCAAAAAACTGAATGCTGAGGTGGTGATCAAGTATTTGCAAAATGAGCTGTTCCACACTTTTGGGGTACCAGAATTTATTGTGTCAGATAATGGATCCCAATTTAAATCTATTGCCTTTAGGAATTTGTTGCAAGAACACAAAATTTTCCAGATGTTCACAGCCGTACATTCACCGCAAGCAAATGCTTCGGAACGAGTTAATCGGTCAGTGATTGCAGCAATTCGTTCATACATACGGCCTGATCAGCGAGATTGGGACGAAAATTTAAGCAGAATTTCTTGTGCTTTGCGTTCTGTAGTACATGCTGCATTAAATACGACATTGACATTGTTAAAAGTAAGGCAGCTGAAGTCTCGAAAAGGCAAAATGATAAAAATGAACGAAAATATAACCTGAGGTCACGCGAAGTCAGCTACCAGATAGGGCAAGAAATTTATCATCGCAATTTCAAGCAGAGCTCTTTTCAAACTGGTTATAGTGCAAAACTTGGTCCAACTTTTATTAAAGCGAGAATTCGAAGCAAACTCGGAAACTCATATTATGATGTCGAAGACTTGCAAGGGCGACTGATAGGGCGTTATCATGCCAAAGATTTGCGCCAATAAGCATACGCGATTTGCAGGACAAAAAGCTACAAGTAAGATCAGCCTTGTGTGCATTAAGCCCGCTTTATTCCACAAGTCTGATTTTGGTGAGGGGGTGTTTGTAGCGTGACTTGTAGCCTGTACGTTAAATTTAATTATTTTTAAAATTTAACGACTCGCCATCTGGTGGTCAAGCTAAACAGTAGCCTTTAACAGGTACAAGGTAAAAGTGAAATAGCAGCAGTGAACGTCGACAAAAGGAAGAAATTGGCGCCTTTTACTGACGCTATGTTAAAAGCTTTCGTTCGCGCCAGCGGTAGTACGTTCGCTCTTTTTATTCCGAACGTCAATCAAGCCAGAAGTGTATCAAGTGTATAGTTCAACTAGTCGAAATAAAAAAATAAAAATCAAATTTTCTTCCGCTGGCTAGAAAGCAAATGCTTGTGCCTTTTGTGGGAAAAAAAAGTAAAGTTCCCAAATTGAATTCAAAAGAGTGTAATTGTTCTGTTTAACCGCTTTGAAGGGTACAACCATTAAAGCCGCTAAAATATTTGCGGAAGAAGTATCAGACCACGGTAAGTTGTATTATGCAGATTCCGTGATTTTTTTTTGCAACAAGTGCTTAGGCAAGGCAGTCTGATAGGCATTAAATTAATTTGCAGGGCCTTGATCAGCTGTCTGCAACAACAAACCTTGCCTGGGACTTCCACTCGGTCGGCCGCAGTGCCTAGAGGGAGAATAAACGGCAAAAGAAGAGAGCAACTTCCAGGCTAGCTTTCCCGTCCACTCAACACCCGGCAGCTTCTACTTTAATTTGGGAGTGTAGAAAATGCGGCTATAGCGACCAAACGTCGGCGGGGGCGCGACTATTTTTAAAACGGCTAACAAAACGTTTAAATAAGAATCGGAACTCGCCCGGAGGTGTTACCCATTTTTTTTCAATTTTTGTTGTTGGTGTCTGTTTAGTGCCTGAAAAAAAGTAAAAATCCCGAGTAAATTCGGGTAATATTGAGTGGCGCGCAAGCGCCGAAGAAGCCGTATGCCGGCGTATTAGTATTTATAAGGTTAGGCTAGTTTTTTTTATATGTTAATTTGTGCAACTCGGTGGCAAAATTTTATTTGATGTGCTCTTAATATGTATGGTTTCAATTGTTAAGCCACTGTTTTACTTTTGCATTTTTTTCCTTGTTGCCTTATTCCGTAATTCGGAAGGCACCAATTTTTTTTATTGAGAACGTGAGAGCGATTATTGGCTCTCTCTCGCGCTTGTGCGCTTTAATTTGCTTCCCGCGGGTTTTTTTTTTGTTTGCGCGCTCTTATTCCAGCGCGGTGTCTTTTTTACAGCTGCGCTCGTTCCAGACGGAAAGCGCTTTCTACCAGGGATCAGCAGACCAGCCGTAAGTAGACAGCTGTTTATTTATTCTTTTATTTGCATTTTTTTCGAAAAAAAATGGGTCATTGGAAGCGCAATACTCACTAAATAAAGTTTATTTTTTTCTCTACGCCACTGAACGGCTATTTAATGATTTTTTTCTTCGAGCAATATTTATTTATATTTTAAAAGGTTCAGTTTTTAGATATTGTAATTTTTTTTTCTCTTATATTATTTTTCGATTTATTGAATTTGTTAGTAATAGTATGTTCATCGATTTGTTTTATGTTTTCCTTTAACACTCTCATTTTTATTCCCATTTAAATAAATTATAATGTGTTACTAATTGATCATTTTTTTTTGATTTCACGCCAAACCCTTCGTAAGTTTTTTTGTTTCCAGCGAAGGGGTCATTGTTAATATTCTTTTTTTGTTCTGTGTGTGGCTTTTAGTAATGACCAAGGTAGGGAGGGCGTATTCAGACTTATTGTAGGTGGAAGTCCGTCCGAAGTCAGTTTAAGTGTTTCTCTTCCGTCTTATGCACGCTTATTTAAAATAAATAATAAGCATGGGACATACATGATGTAGGAGGTAAAGAACACCACCCAATTGCCGACGAGCCAGAGCCGGAACTCTAAGCGTGCCGCTCCTACTCATGTCGACCACCTAGTCCCAAATTCCTTCTGTAACCGTTACACAATTCAGAAGGCTCAAGAATCCTGCAAAAAGCAACATGATAAAAAAAGCAAAGAAGCACATGGATACCGAGTTGGTGGCGATACGAAGAACACAATTTGTAGCTGGAAGGAAAATGGCTAGCGACTTCTTAGGCCCTTATGAAGTGTCGAAGATCAAGCGGAAGGGGCGGTACAATGTAAGAAATATGTCGCAAAACGAAGAGAAGAGCAAGAGCAGCGAATAGAGGCAGTCGTCAAGTAGCGTCGTCGTGAGTCGCACGTACATACTATATAGTTGAATTGATCCATTGTCGTACCGTCTTGTTGTAATATTCGATAAAGTTTTTGTTAAACGAGCTGCCTTTAATAGTTGTCAAACATTTGTTGCTTATACCAATTACCACAACTTGTTAGCATATAATATTAATAAACTGATTGGAATACATATCCTATCTTACATATATAAATTACCTTTGCAAATAAGGTTTATGTTGCTTCCGAAATGTGAGTAGCATTGCCGAATTCTGTAGGGTGGAGGGGGGTGGGAAACTCAAAAAAGGGACTGGGAACGTCTACGTACCAAGTTTGGTTAATGTACCTTCAACCGATTTGGGACCCGCTGATTGAGTAGTTAGCTGTTTGGTTTTATCGACTTTAAATGCTAATTGGTTTACAGGGTCAATGGCCGAGCGACTGCGATCGGGTAGATCAGTTCTATAAATAGATTTGGCTAGCGAGTTGCAGCGGTCGCTGCTGTTGATTGTTTGTGTAGTCAGAATACAAATTGCTTGAAATGTAACGGTTGCGTGTTGAAGTTCTTTTTGGCTGTAACTTTTGTTTTTGGCTTTGCGAGATACGGTCTTGCGACTAACGATTAGGCATGTCTGGACTCAACGAATGCAGATTTGTGATTAATTAGTAATGTTGCAATTTAAAAAGAAAATAGAATAAATAAATATTACTAATATGTAATATATGTATATATTGACATCGTATTAAATATGACTAGCGCAATAATTTAAAAGTGATATAATACTTTTAAAGCTAGTATAGGGTTTATAATTAAATAAATACAAATAGATTAACAGTTATTACAAAAATGATAAAAAACATTGAAATAGTATTTTTCAAAGCATTTTTTTTTTGTTAAGTTACATTTATCAAAGTTTTTTGTAAAATTGGTAAATTTATTTTCAATCTCCCTTCAAAAATTGATTTATTTTCATTGTGAAAAGTTGGCAGCACTGCTGTAATCGGTGACAATCATATCTATCAATCAATGAAAAAGTAGCAATGGCAATTCGTGATAAAAATATTAGGCTTACCAAATGGGATTGTGATTTTATAGTTTATTTCACCGATAGCCGGTGCCCACATTAGTTCTGTCATCTCTATTTTTATTATTGTGTCAATCTAGTGAAGATGCTTACTGCTAAGATTGGTAAAGTTGTTAAAATCCTAGTCTGTGGCATGAAGGGTGTAGGAAAGACTGCCCTCATTGAGCAGTTGGTGTACGGAAACATTAACGCCGAAACTGTAAGTTATTTAACTATTTAACTTAAAGTAACTTTAGAGTTTTCTTCTAGGAACTGCACGCCACAATTGAAGATATTTACTCAAGTAGTGTTGACACTGGCCGCGGAGGCTGCAGGGAAACGATCCGCATATATGACATTGCCGGGTTACAGGGTGAACAAGCTCTCCCTCGACATTATTTAAATTTTCCTGATGCATTTGTTATGGTTTACGATCCCATCGATCCTCGAAGCTTAGATATGTTAGCAGACATAAAAATGGACATTGACAAACACAAGGAAAAGAAGGAAGTACCTGTAATTGTACTCGCGAATGTCCACGCGCGTTGTAAATTTAATAGTAATACTCCTGGACTAAATCCTGTGGAAATAATATTAGATCGTGCTAATATATGGTGTCAACGGGAACGAATTAAACATTATACTGTAAATGCAATGGAGCGTCCTTCTTTATATGAACCGTTCCTTGTGTTGTGTGCGCGACTTCATCCGCCACAGACAAAGAGTACATTTCCTCAACTCCGAGTCATGCAAAGTCGGCAAAAAAGTGAAGCATAAGATTATAAGCACCTATGAGATATTAATGTTATTTTCTCTAAGTACTGGTTAAAAATGTAATTATTTTATTGTTCTGATTATATTGAACTATAACCTAATCAAAACATGTTTTCGCAAAAGGAAAGCGCGCAGTATGTATTAATGAAATACATACACTGCCGCTCCACTGAATATGTTCAACGATTCACAAAAGTTATGTCTTTTCAACCAAATCGTCGATTTTGATCAAATAAAATTTTGTAGAAAAAATAGTTTATTGTTAATAAAACAGCAAAGTTTGGGGCTTAAAGAAAATTGTTTTCCATTTTTTATATTATTATTATTTTTTTTAAAACATGCATTTTTTTTGGTTCAATTAAATAGGTTCAGTAACTTAAAAACTAAAAACAAGAAAGGAATGCTAAAGTCGAGCAGGCTTAACTCTTAAATACCCTGTACCACCCCAAAAAGATATTAAATTAATTAACTACATTAATTTAATTAATTAATTAAATTAAATATAAAATACTCCATACATGCATACATATGTACATTTACATCAGAATAGTGTCTATTCGTGTTGGTGTACTTGTATATATGTGTGTATGTATGTGTGCATTGGGCCTGGTTATATTGCTATAACTTTCTTTCCGATCAACCTATTATAATGAAACGGTATACGGATATATAATCACTAACTTAATGTGACTACCACTCTTCCGCAATTCGTGTTTTTTTATAGCTTCCGTAATTCTTGAAATTTTGGTAGTTACATCCAGTTAGTGCCAATGTGTCCGTGTGCCAAGTTTCATTTTGATGGTTTTGATTTCCCCCCACTTCCCCCCTATGGGGGTTTTCACAAAATTTTAGTCCAAGATGCCTTATGTGAATACGCAGAAAATGTGTATTTTGGAATTTCCCTCCCTGCCCCCTATCCACAGCAAATCGTAACTCCCGTAATTCTTGGAATTTGGGAAATAGCCAAGATTCACTATGATAGATTTAACAAGAAGTTATAGCCATAAATATATTTGCTGCTCAAGCGCTGCCCGCGGCTGTTGTTGCACACATGCTTACACAGACACGAATAGATGCGCATAGGCATACATACACTCACACAGACGCAATTGCTATGTACTTGTAAATGTGCAATTATACACCATTTACGTGAATTCGAATACCAAGAAAGGTAAAACCGATCAAAATTTTTATACCCTGTACCCGTAGGGTAAAAAGGGTATATTAGGTTTGTGCAAAGTATGTAACAGGCAGAAGGAAGTATCTCCGACCCCATAAAGTATATATATTCTGAATCAGCATGACGAGAGAAATTGATCTAGACATGTCCGTCCGTCCGTCCGTCTGTCCGTCTGGATGAACGCCTGGATTTCGGAAACGGCTGAGCGTACATAAACCAAACTTGGTATGCAGACGCTCCTAGTCCCTAGTCTATACGAGTTTGTTTTATTTTTGGGATTTTCCCTCCCCTCTCCCTGCTATAGAATTTCGCTAATACACTCCAAATTTTCAATCCTACATAAACCAAACTTGGCACAAGTAATCTATACACAAATATCTACTTTTTTATGAAATTTCAATCAAATCGGTAAATTATAAAAAAAGTTATTAGCGAAACAACTTCACTGCAGTACTACGCCCACAAACTGCAGTATCCGAATCGCGTCAATACTGTCCACATTTTTAAAGCTTTATGAACAAACTTCGTATGTAGTCACTCCTAATATACAGGCAACACGAGTTTATTTTATTTTTTGGATTTCCTCCCCCCTCCCCCGCTTCAGAGTTTCGTCAATCATGTCTACTTTTCAAAAGCTACATAAATTAAACTTTCCACGCTTAATATACTTACATATAAATATCTCATTTTGTTTTAAATTACATCCAAGTCGATCAATTTAAAGAGAAGTTATAAACGATACAAATTTTGCCCAACAAATTGTAGCAGTTATTTCTGATGCAATCGTATACACAAAGAAAATATTTTACCTTTTCATTCACACGAAAATACCTAAATGTTATGATAATATATTCATAGCTTTTTATACCCTGTACCCGTAGGGTAAAAAGGGTATATTAGGTTTGTGCAAAGTATGTAACATATAGAAGGAAGCATCTCCGACCCCATAAAGTATATATATTCTTGATCAGCATGACGAGAGAAATCGATCTAGACATGTCCGTCCGTCTGTCCGTCCGTCTGTCCGTCCGTCTGGATGAACGCGAGGATCTCAGAAACTATAAAAGCTAGAATAACCAAAGTTGGCATCCAGATTCTCCTAGGTCCGAGTAAGGACGAGTTTATGTTTTTTTTTTTAATTTTCCCCCCCTTCCCCCGCTACAGAATTTCGTCAATTTCAAATGCTACCTAAACCAAACTTTGCACACATAATTTGTATATAATTGTCTATTGTTGTACAAATTTTTATTCAATTCGGTCAGTTCTAAGAAAAGTTATTAGCAAAACAAATTCTCGCCAGTACAACCCCCCCAAACTGCAGCAGCAAGTTCGCTCTTCTTCTTCCTCTTTTTGCTGCTGCTATGGGCGCATATAACTCAGTGACGGAAGTTTACCTGGGTACAGGGTATTACACTGTCGGGCTTGCTCGACTGTAGCGTTCTCTCTTGTTTAATATAGCTATCCTGTACAATTTTTTGTGGATTACCTGTTTAATATAGCTATCCTGTACAATCTTTTGTGGATTACCTGGAAAAGGTTCTATGTCGTTTGGGGACATTTGTGTAAGGGTTTGAAACGGGACTTATACTACTTAACTTCCTAATCGTTGACCTGCAGGTAGTTGCCAATACAACCGCGTGATCCCAAAAAACTCAAAAAAATAGGCCAGGTTATATTGCACGCTGAATATAATGGTCAAGCAATCCTACCACGAAAATATCGGTTGAATTTTCAGGTAAATTTTGAAGCTGTTGTTTAGGCTTTAGCATTCTGACACGACGCTCTGGCAACGAAGTATTTATATATATTTCGGCGTTACTTATCTCCGATAATCGCATACCCATACAGCAGTAAACGGCTTCTTGAGCAGAAATTTCAGTACCACAAATAAATTTGTGACCTATATGATGTAGCTTTTGCTTAATGCTGAAATTGCCCCTATTAATTTCTGCAACAGCATCATGCATCAATTTGGAAATACCCCTTTGCGATTTGTTTATGTAATTAATAACATAGCTACAGCAAGCGTATGGATCCAATATGAATTGAATATCCATATTGGCTCTTTGGGTAGAAAGAAGGTGTTTGTTGTAAGCATTCACCTTAATTGCTTCAAAATGTCTTTTAAGGAATATTTGGGGTTTCTTTAAGCTAGACCTAATGGCATATTTATACTGCTCATAGCTAAGATTAATTTGATCGTGAGATAAGAAATTGTCAAATATATTTAAACGCTCAATACTACCACGATCAAACGAAAAATTCAAAATGCTTTGTATTTTTGCAAAATTAGTGCGATGAACAGAAATATCTTGAGCGTCTTCTGGCAATGGTAATAATATTTCCGTTTGGGGCATAGGAGGATATGGAATACCGAAGCGACAGATTTGTTTCCCCCTTATTTCTCGCTTGCATGAGCTAGAATGGTCGTGCTTCTGGTATTCAATGTACTGAGCTAACTCAGCACACGAAACATTTGTGCTTACAAATTGGTCAATAAATTTTATTACTGGAGGAAAAGACGTATCGTCAGTTAAATCGGCGATAGGAGGATCTTTCAACCAAAACATGCCATGTATATGAGGTGAACCTCTGTGCTGAAATTCAACTCGCCAATAATATTTAACAGCATTATGCCTACCAAAAACTCCACCTTCCTTCTTCATTAATTTAAAAACCTGCCTAATACGGTAATCAAAATATCTTGCGCAAGTAACGGGATCTGCTCTTATTAAACGTGCCTTTTCTTCATAAGATAAAGTCGATGCTACTTCTTTTGAAATTTCAGACCTATCTACATTTTTCTTAAGTAAAACTAACAACTCTGACCACCTTGTCTCAGCAGCCGACAACGTTATAAAAAAAGTAGGGAGCCCAAACTGGCGTATCATGGCCATGACTTTCTTTTTTTCAGATTCCCAATGAGCAGGAGATGTGCGAATGCCTTTTAATACCCTATAACCTTCATCGTGACTTATTAATTGATCAATATGGCTTTCACAGAGTGCATTAGCAGCTGTGATGCCGTGAGGGGCGCTGTGCTTACGTAAGCAAATAGACGTATTATTACGTATATGAATCAACTCTAGCTTCTTGTAATTGTAGAACAACTTATCAGTTCTACAACCTCTCCTATCAACATTTCTAAGCTCAGATCTAACAACTGTTGTAAAACTTTGTGAAGTTGTTCTTTTCTTGCCAGCAAATATGGTTGGGAATGACAGTTCCTCTGAATCAGAGTCTGCAACCATATCAAGGGGCCTTTGGCCTTCACCAGGAGCAATTGTGATACGCACAGGGATATTGTGTGCATGCGTGCTGTCTAACAATGTTTCTTGCCCGCCTGGATTTATCTCCTCGATCTCTAAGTTTGAGTGTGCCTGTTCGGAAATATTTTGCATTCCTTCCTCAACAACTACTCTGTCTGCTTGAGACGCTATGAATGGAACAGCATCGGATGTAGAAGAAATCATCCACTGCTCATTAAGAGTCACGTTATGCTTACAATACAGATCTGTATTAATCAGATACCTAATTGCACTGGCAATTTTAGAAGGTCTAATGGTTTCAGCCATAAAATTATGACTGTATTCCATTCTACGTTTGAGGTGGAGCTGAACAACCTCTGCTTCATGAAAAGCTCGTGGAAGAGAAGTAATCACGTTTGAAACTGGAATTGGGACATTAACAACAGCTCCTTTAAGACCACTTTGGCGACCGTATCCAAGGGGCTTTATAACCATAAAGGGAAGGCGGGGAGATATTAATCTTTCCTCCAAAGGTGTTAATTCTTTGAGGCAATCGGGCAGTGTAGAAAAATCTAGTCCATTTGTGAAAGCTGCCTTAGGTACCCTACGAGCTTTAATATTTCTAGTGCATGTTTTGCAAAAAGTGAACCTTTCGTTATTAGAAGTAAATATA